AGAGAGAGAGAGAGAGAGAGAGAGAGAGAGAGAGAGTCAGACAGAGACAGACACAGAGAGAGAGAGAGAGAGAGAGAGAGAGAGAGAGAGAGAGAGAGAGAGAAAGGGGGTAGACAGGGGAGAGCGAGGGTTGGCAAAAGAAGCATCACGTCTCAGGCACACTTCTGATTTGCTGCACTACATGCGGACGCATTAAAGCCCATTACTCTCGGCAGACACCCTTAAACTAAGATCGGACACCGGTCTCTTCAGGGGGATTTAAGACTGAGCGGCATGACCGTTGGGATCTCGATTTCAAAGAGAAATGGACATAATGCTTGTCGATCCTAGCTGCGCCAAACTTGAATCTGCATGGAAATCCAACACGTGACAAACCCCCGTGAAGAGAAAGCGAAGGAAAACTCACAGGGAAGGCACAGATCAAAGAAGGCAGGGGGGGGGGGGAGAAAGTTGAAAAGACCTTTCCCCAGCATAACTACATGTATTGAAAGGATTTGCCTGGGAAACGACGGTGATTGCTCTCGAACGCAATATCAGAAGTGGGAGACTACGTGCAAACAGACACACAGAGAGAAAGAAGAGGCCAAAGAAGGACAGTCGGGGGAGGAGAGACAGAGAGGAAAGGCCAAAAGGGGAAAATTAATTATCCTTTTACTATTACTTCCCGCGGCAGCGAACTGAGCTTAAATTGTCTTRCTTTTCTTTTGARAAACTTGGTGAACCCGTTCTAGATTTGGTCAGCAGGAAATTTGTAGTTCGCTAYGAAGTGAGCTTTGATCGCCATGCAAACACCCATGTTGCCCTTTTGACAAACTCGATGAACTAGATCTTGGACTTGACTCTTGATAAAACTTGSAGGCCATAGCGAACTGACCATTGTTTGGAATATTGTAACTCCGGTTGATAACTGCGAAAAAGGCTTGTTTCGGACARTGTTACTCTTRATGGCCCAAATGAACTGGATCTAGAATTARCTTTTAAATATTCGCTATAATCACCTTGCAACAGGACTTGCTATAGCTTGTGGGTGATGCCACCCGTAGCATCCCCGAGAGGAGCAGTGACAGACTAAACAKACACAAGCACGCTGCAGGCCGCTGAGGACCTCGGAAGCGGGCGCGGCGAGTGACAGGCGMCGTAGCCCTTGGCTTCAGCGGACTGTAGGCGACCCCTCCCCGGGATTCCCGACAACTTTGGCGCCGTTGCCGGGGAGGGGACTGCACCCCCAAGGCCACGGCCTTCCCGAATCAACGGAGGTGCGAAAGCGAAACTAATTAGCTTTTAAAAAGTTGATTAGTTGATTTTTTTTAATTTTTCTTTAATTCTGTATTTTGTTTTTTTTTTTCATTATCTCCCGATCCGCGCGTTTTCGCGCGAGGCGAGAATGGAGCAAAGTTCGTCTCCTCATCGAGGCGAATGTTTTGTGACGTTTTTTTTTAATTTTTAACGGCTAGAAAAAGAGATATGGAATTTTTTGTATTTTCTAATTAAAAATCCCAAAACTTATGAGTTTAAATTTTTAATTCGTTTTTGTTCGATATCTCCCGATCCGCGCGTTTTTGCCCGAGGAGCACCGGAGCAAAGTTCGACCTCTCGTCGAGGAGAACGTTTTGAGACATTTTTTGAAAAATTTTAATGGCTAGAAAAGGAGATATGAATTTTTTTGTATTTTTCTAATTAAAATTCTGAAAATCATGAATTTTCTTTTATTTTAATTACGAAGAAAAGAAGCGAAATTAGGTGAACCCCGCCCGGACCAAAGTTGGTCCTTGTATTTTTCCCGACATTTTCAGACCTTAGTCGGGGAAAACGGACTCCGTTTGGACGAGTGGTGACCGACAACAAACACGAAAAGAGGAGAAAATTAAGAGGAATTAGTGATTTTCTTTATATTTTTATAAAAATAAAAGGGAAACAGAAGTTGGCAAAAGTGACCCGTTCGAAGCCGGCTTTTCACTGACTACAAACCGACGGAAAATTTTCTGCCTCGAGAAGTCGGACGTGGTGGCGTGCGGTCGCGCGCAAAACCCCAAAACCTTAATTGGGGGAAACCCTAATTAGGGTAAACCCTAACCCTAAGTTAGGGGAGGGCGGTGCGTAGCCGGGCGGATACAAGTCTTTCTATCCGACCGGTGATGGGAAAATTTTGTATAAATCCAGTTGACCAAATTGAAATTAATCAAAATTGGGAATTTTATTTTAATTAAATAATTTAAGTTGTAAATTTGTTTTAAGTAATAATTTGTCATTAAAAATCGATTAAAAATTAAAATAAATATCTAAAATTCTTCAAGAAAGGGGAGTCGGCTTTATTTCGACTTTGAGATTCGGGAGATACTTCACTTAACCCCATCCCAACGGGGGGAAGCAAAGTGCTGCCGAAATTTCTTGGCAATTTGCTTAATTTTATTGAATGATATCTTAAATAATTAAAAAAAATACTTGAAAATTAGCTAAAGATTGAGATACTTTTTCAGTTCTTAATCTTTCTTGTTAAACATCTACCGTCGGTATTTTGGGGCCTTCGGCCAAACCCTATCCCGACCGGAGGGGGGAGGCAAAGTGCTGTCGAAATTTCGAAAAATTTCCTAATTCAAATTATTAATTCTTTTTTTATAAATATATTGAAAGCGATTAGGGAAATTAATTATAAATACGTTAGAAATTTGTTTCTTTAAGCGACTTTCCTCATGTTTCATTTGGCTTTAGTTCTGGGTAGGTAGCATTTGTCTAGGGACAATAGTCCCGAACCCCATCCCAACGAGGGGAGGCGAAACGTTGCCGAAACTTTAGTAAGATCCCCAAATTTTATTTCTACCCCTAAAAAGTATCAAACTCGGCGGGCTTATATAAGTATTGATCCTTAATATATATAAACTAAAAAAAAAAAAAAAAAAAAATTAACTAAATACATTTTCTATAATTTATAATTGAAAAATACAAAAGAATTCCCTAGAAGGAGAAGGGAAAGAGACGTTGCGGTAACTTGGTTTCAGGTGAACCTACTAGCTTGTTCTCGAAGGCGTGAGGCAAGCGACGCGAAATTTCAGTTATTAATCTACACCTCCCGCTTGCTGCGATCTCTCTAGCCGCCAGTTGAATGTGGCCGCGGGTGCAAGTAGAGGTCTATGGGGCTACCATTGACTGGGACTTAGAGCCCCCTGAACTCATAGAGGAGGGTCTGGTCGAGCTCACGATCCCCGGACGCAGCATTCGACACGCTGACGGCCAGTTTGCGTGGAGGTCCATAATCCTGTCCGAGGACGTGTGGCTTTGGACGTACAGAGAGCACCGGCCGGGGCAAGGAGTGGGCGTAGTGAGAGCCTACTTGTATTTGGGACCGGGTGCGGTCAAGGAGGCCGTGGTGGGCCTCGCGACGACAGGGACTAGTGACGCAGTTAGCAGGGCATTACGCTACCTAGGGGAAGAGGTAGCGACTTTCCGAGCGGAGGACGCGAGCGACCCGTTGACCCTATTTTACGGACGCCCTCCTCTTGATATCACGGGCGAGCTCGTAGTGGCACGCGACGGGTTTTTCCCGTACAACGTTAGGAGCCTGCGGGCGATAGTTCTGACGTTCGCAGTAGAGAGCGTCTTTGGAGGTATTGGTGGAGTGGTCGAGACATACCTGGCCTATCAGGATCTCAAGATCCTGGCGAGAAGGCCTGCCGACCTAGACTACATCTATTATTCGCTTGCGACCGGTGGGCCTCGTTGGGGAGACGAGAGGGTTCAACTTATAGAGTTGATCCGCTCGATAGACGACGAGTGGCCCCAGTCTTCGTGCGTTTGGGATTGGCTAGACCGCTCCGAGCAGGCCCCGAGTACGTAACTTGCATCGGGCGGCTCTTCTCAGACGACTGGGGGAGCTGGTGGAGTGAGGACGCCGAGCGACCTCTGATATACGGCCATCAGTTGACGGAATACTACCAGGCCACAGACAGGCGCCATACCGCGTCGAGGACGAGTTTGACGACGAGGGTTGGGAGCGAGAGGACGACGAGGAGCTGTGGGAACCAGACTGGGTCGACCTAGAGAGTGAGGTTGACGAGGAGGGGATTGACGTTATAGACGCGCATTTTTCGAGGATAGGAGTAGCGGTCCGGGCGTAGGAGGTAGAGGAGCGCACCAGGGCGACGGATGAGTGAGCCTGGCTACGGAACCCATTCGCCCATACTGGAGCTGAGTGCGAGAGTTGTCAGGAGGGTTAGCAACGTCGAGAGATGGAGTGCATCAGAGGGAGTAGAGTGATGCTGACCGAGAGTAGGAGAAGAAATGAGGAGTAATTCAGCGGCCTGGTTAGCTTATGTTTTCTCACGAGAGTCCGAATCGTATAGTGTGAGGAAGCTTGTGGGACCCAGAGAGACGGCGGTTGGATACGACATACCACTTCCTGTGGCGTTAGAAGAGGCAGGGCGTGTACCGATACGATACTTGGGAACGTGGCTCGCAGAGGGGCTCTTCCTTTGGACAGTGATACTAAGAAACGAACGACCCGAGAGGATTCATGATCTAGAAGGGGTCGAACATCTAATACCGGATAGAACACACAATTTAGAGATAGGGCTAACGCTCGCAGGGGCGAGCAGAAGTTGGTGGAGAAGCGAGTTGTTGGTCAGAGCGATCGTTAATCAGCAATTGGCGAGACTCTCTGGAGGGAGGACGAGTAGGAGCTGCTTGGTATACGGTCCACCACATCCGACCCTCTACCCGAGAAAGGATTGGCGATTCGGAGTTCCTACCTTCGTGATAGGGCAGACCTATGGGAGCGTGGATCGTTTGAGGAGAGCAGTGGATCACACACTTTACGCGCTCTGGGAGGGCTTAGCGCCCCGCTTCAAGGAAGTATACTACGCCATTTGCGTGAGGTGGGGGCCGCCCAGTAGAGAGATGCTTGACGACATTATAGATGTTACGAGCTGGGTGGACTTTCTGAGGCCTATCGATCTGATTAGGTACTGCAGGAGACGGGCAGAGATCGATTACGCGGGGCTAAAGGACGCGAGATTTCTCTTCGAGGTCGCAGCGTAGGGAATGCCGGGAAGGACGGCCACGGTGATGCGTGTAGAAGAGCAACTGGTAAGTACAGGATACACTGTGGCAGTACTTCTCCGAGCGTACGTAGACGAGGACTTGACGACGAGTGACTGCAGACAACGAGCTAGGGATTTGATCCACAAGCGTAGAGCTGATGTACTGGCGCGAGTGACGTTCCACACCTCGATTTCCTATGATGTGATGATATGGTCTCATGGTTATATGCGCGCGGAGCACTACCACGATGAGACGGTAGCGGAGGCTAGAGTGAGGATGAGAGGGTGAGCTGGAGAAAAATGTGGACTGAGTATGGAAGAGGAGAGTGAGGCAGTCGGAAGAGTGAGAAAGCGCGTTAAAGAACCACTCTTGAACCAGGTAAAGAAGTTGCGGGACAAGTTAAGGGGGAATTGGTCGTGTCAAGACGAGGGCAAGTTGCGAAGGGCTGAACTCGTGACGAAAGAGTTAGAGAGTTTGTTTAGGGAGGACAGAGAGATTATCCAGACGTGGAGATCAGACTTTTTGGAGAAGGTAAAGGCTAGAAGCGTATCACGCGAGGAAACTAGTAAGCGATTTGCATAGAGTGAGACAACGGAAGACAAAGTAACACAGGGGAGTACCGACAGGACATGAGCGGGACTGCACTACACACGACGRATCGGTACTCATTACATGTGGTAGGGAGACTGGACGGACCATTAGTGTTAGTGATCATAGAACTCCAGCTCCATACCAGACTGTGCATAGTGGAGGAGACAGAGTGTTTCCGCCGTGCCCAGCGTGAGGCAAGGGGGATAGGATTTTGGATTGGACTAGAAGGAGGACGGAGGATAAAATACGTACTTCGAGTAACACCCTTCGAAGGACGGTCTCGGATAAGGGCATGGTACGAGACGACCAGAGAGGCTGAGAGGTTAAAGATAAGCGAAGTCAGGAAAGTTGGAGAGTTAGGGAGAGTTGTAACAGATGGTGCAATACTCAGGGTGTTAGCCGCTCACAACCGGTACTGGAAGGAAACGATAAAGACTTTAGAGGCGATAGACGAAGGAGGAGATAATGAGGACTTTGAGACATTTTATGACATATTGRAGCGGTCGGCGATGAGGTTACAAGTCGTTATAGCACTAACTTACCTCAGTTGTTAGACAGATGACCTCGTAACCATTGAGGAGATAAGGTAGTGGAAATAAAAATTGGAAGCTGTTGGAAGGATAGAGGAGGCTAGAAAGGTCGATGGGCGACATTGGGCGACAGTAGGAGGGCCTTTAGCAGGCTAACCGATTCGGACAGGGCTAGGAGAACTAGCAAGGAGGACGGAGAGAGACGCTCGGGGACTCTTGAGGAGTGTTGATTGGGAGACTTTGGCTAGGTTTGGGATTGCAATCTGTCTCAAGGATAGAGGTCCTGTCACGGCCGTGCTGTGGATCCGGACAGGCACGACCTTGTTGACCGATCCCGAAGGAGAGGTTACTTAGACACAGGGATTCTTGGGATAGAGAGAGAACACGAGATCTGCGACCGGAACGGGATACTGGAGGTGGTAATCAAGACAGTCGAGAGCTAAGATTGAAGGCGGACGCGAGTCGTGTCAAAGAAACAGGTCGGGGCTGCCGCGACTGTCACAGGTCCGGGCTGCAGCGACTGTCATAGGGTCGGGCTGTAACAGTTGGCTAGAATACCTAACTGCATCTTCTGGCGGTCCAATGGAACCCGACACGATGGGGCCACAACCGACCACGGGCGAAGCGGGAGAGGAGTACAGGGCATCGTCCGATCGAGCACTGAGGGATCTGAAGGAACGAATTAGGCAAGAAGCAGCGCTGAGATGGGCTGACCAAACCAATAACGGAGGGCCCGACATGAGAGGCGAACCAGTGACAACAGAGCTGCAGGAGGCTCTAAAGACGGGTACCGCGAGCGGACGCCGAGAAGCGACGAGGCGACGCTCCCCCGTGTACGAGCGGAGGGACACCATAGCGGATAGGCACAGAGACGACTGGAGAGAGAATTTGAGGGATTCCTATTGGTGGGACAGAGATAGAGACAGGGCGCCGCCCAGACGAGTCTTCGACCCCCAGACAGGGGAGTCACATCCACTCCCTTACGAGAGCAAGGATCGCTATATTATTACGCACAAGGCCTCAGAGCCTCCTRCCTTCAGGGGTTATGGTATCACAGAATATCTGGAGAAGTGGGAGCTTCACGCCAGCCGGAGTCA